CTATGTGCATAGAGTTCAAGTCTTGTTTCCTTCTTTTTGTTTACTCTGTATTTAGGGCCAAGTCCCTTTTTGTCTAAAATGTATATATATGATGACGTAAGGATGATGTGTACATATGTATATAAACATTTTAACATTTTTCTGTCTCATATAAGTTTGCACAGCTCAATGGACGTTGTACATTTGCTATTTGCTTCCGCTAGCCTCTAATATTATGTTAATCTGTTTCAAAGGCCTTCGACAATCCCAGGATTATTGGCCGGTTACGATGCTAAACTTATAGGGACGGGTTTGGGTCGTGACAAGTCCACTACTTCATTATTCAAAAAACGATTATACTACCAGAATACACAGAGTCCATGCACGTCCTAGAACATGGGTGGATTGCACTAGTTCACTAATATCACCAAGTTATTGGGTATATTAGTGCGAGGGGTAATGTTGGCTGTATAATTTGTAAAAGCCAATCATAATTTAACACGTGGCATGAAGAGGGCAATTTAGAAAATTAATATAAGTTGCCAACCAAAGTCAAACACATGACAGTTCGTATTGGTAATAATGGATCTGCATAACATTGGAACAATCGAGAGATACAAGATGATGTGGCCTAACGATTACTCACAAAGTTTAAATTCAAAATCAGGAGGGAAGCCTAACTACAAGAGTGGCGTAGTGGGACTGACTGTGAGAGAGCATGTTCAGCAATTATAGGAGGATATTTCGACAGTTGGAAGCCCACTTCGACGGTTATCATTGAAAAGTATAAGTAGCAGAGAAGGCCCCAGAATGAAAGACCAGACTCAAATCAAAAAACTAGTTCATATACTTCATATTTTTTTCCAATTTTACAGTTCTTTACAATTCTGCACTACAATTCTTGTACTGCACTTTATTTCTTAAGAGTAGTGTCAAATAGCTTGTTGTTGTAAACCTCTACGAGGCTGGGTCAGATCATTGTAAGTTTTCATTTACTTAATGAAATTCAGATTCTAAATTGTTCTTCACTTGTTGTTATTTACTAAATTCTCCTAAACAAGCCACACGTAAAAGTCCTCTTCGTTGAGGCTGCGAGAACTAAAACACAATCGTCTGATAATTAGTTGGCAATTAATATTCTGTAGGGACTAATTGATCCTTGCTGGCACGCTTAAAATTATATTATTAACCTTCGAAAGCCAAAAAAGCCAACAGGTACGCTAGCGTCTGTCTCCCAAGATACAATAGTCGAAACCAGCTAATACAGAAGCACCTTCTGAATAGCTTCAACAAACTTGACATTGGATGCACGTTCTCTAACAAGAACCAAAAAAGAGGCTAACAAAAGAATATATAAAAAAATTTCTTTGGTGTAAAAAACCATCTGCAACTTTTCATCACAAAACACCATCTCATTTTCCATCATAAAACTTCTCTAAAAACAACCTACTAAGTTGGAGGAGAAATGCCTCTATTTATACTAGTAGGGGAGAGCCTTAACCATGAAGGCGAACATCAATGGGGTCATCAAATGTCATCAACTCTAGCAACTAGGGCTAGATTTACAAATTTTCAGAACTCCAAAACCATTATAAATCATAATGTATATATAATGCATAAGTTTTGAGAATTAAACTAGATGGGTTACAAAATGGATATGGGTGTTGGGTCATAACCCGATCCAAGCCCAATCTCAAACACATGCAAAACTAAGCCCAGTACAGCTCAGCCCAAAGCTCAATACTAGGCCCAAGTTTAAGTCTAGGACCAAACCCAGCACATTCACAAGTACAAGTCTAGACCCAATCCAAACCAAGACTAAGTCCAAATCTAAGCCCAACTTTATTGATGCCCACTTTATGAGATAATTCTCATTCACAACTCAATGGTTTCGGCTCATTATTTTTGTATTACAACCTTCTCACTTAAGATAATACAAAACCACTTAGACCCATCTCAATCGGCGGTTGGGTCCCACTTTAATTTTAATTAAAGTTACCAAAAACCCATTATTTTCCAACAATCCTCCACATGATTAAAATTGGCCGAATAAAGAAAAACGGACAACGCTTAACAACAAAGACTCAGAGAGAGAGCACACAGAATAACCTTGCATCAGAAAAAGTAGTTATTGGCCTTGAACCTTTTGTAGTGAAAGCTTATCGAATTTACTGGCTGACCAGTGAACATGATGTCTTGAACTATTTTGACGTTTGTGTAAATCGAGACAATAGACCTCATATAGGAGTTACTCCAACCATTACTCTTGTTTTCACTGGTGTGTCCGGTTTGACCCTGGAACAATAGCCTAGTTTAGTAAGTGTTTTTAAAGAATTCAACCTTGTCAATTCTTAAAGAAATGCCCCACTTCATACTTACATGGGTGACCTACATAAGGTATCTCGCTATATCACGGTTGACTATTCACAACACTTAGGTCATTAAAAGTATCAGCTTAACCTTCTACCCCACAGGGTATCACTGTATAAAGGAATGGATAGAAGGATTTACCTCCACAGTGACTCATCCGTTTCACGCAATTAGGTTGTCCCTTGGGATCTCCAGCCAACAAGGTTGGGTTTTCTATTTCGATAACATTTGCTAAAGGCCTTAACCCCATTCCTTTTGATGACTTTCCTACTAACTCTCGATTTAACTCTTAGGTTAACGTATCCGTAATATTGTCCTTAAACTGTATATAGCCTATAATGATAACACACAAGAATAGTCATCGTATGGAATTATGTCTTCGATGAAAATTTCTAGACCTTTCATTACACGTTGTACTCTATGCCCTATCAATACTTGATTGGTTGTCGCAAAGTATACAAAATTACTAGCACAAGTTTTGATCAACATGGAATATCCTCAAGAAAATGGCAAAGCCATTTAGTTACTTTAATACTAAATTCTGATTCCAACATTGATCTTGTGATACACATCTGCTTAGAAGATCTCCAAGACACGGTTACAGCTCCAATTAGAGAAAACATATCCACTAATGGATTTGTAGTCTTTATATCAGATATCCAGTAGGCGCCTTTGTACCCTTCTAGTACAACTGGATATCAAGTGTTATGAAATCCATAATCCCGGGTATAGTGTAAATAAACAAACACCCACATAATACCCTTCCAATGAGTAGCATTAGGATTACTCGTGTATTGACTAAGCCTACTAACTGAGTAGGCTATACCTGGCCTTGTACAACTCATCAAATACTTTAAACTTCCAATGACCCGAATATATTCTAGTTGAAATACACTCTCACTATTATTCTCGGCCAAATGTAGACTCAAGTCTACTGGTGTCCTCGACACACTTGTATTGGAGTTACTGAATTTCTCAAGTATCTTATCTACATAATGAGATTGAGAAAATATAATACTACCAGATGTTCTAATAATCTTAATATCTAAAATCACATCTGCAAGACCCATATCTTTTATGTCAAACTTAGAGTTTAACAACTTCTTGGTAACTCTGAACATCTCATCATTACTACCAATAATGAGAATGTCATCAACGTATAGACACAAAATGACATAACCTTTGTCGGTATCTTTGACATATACACATTTGTCACATTCGTTGATTCTAAACCCATTCGACAATATAATGTTGTCAAATTTCTCATGTCATTGTTTTAGTGCTTATTTTAAATCATAAAATGATTCTCAAGCTTACAGACTTTCCTTATCCTCAAAATGAAAAACCCTTTAGGTTGTTCCATTATCTAAATCTTCATTTAGAAAAGTTGTCTTTAACACCCATTTGATGTAACTCCAGATTTCGCACAACTGCGATTACATCCACCATAGCTAGTGATCACGTACCAAAGTAATCAAAGCCTCCTTTGATAACAAGATTGTCTCATCCTCTTTTATTCACTTACATCCCAAGACTTACTACCTATGCAAGAAAAAGTTAAATTAACAACTTATTTCTGAAGAAATCACAACTTCAAAGAAGCTTTTAGCCTCACTAGCCATCATATAGGTTTAAGAAGATTAGACAAAAGAACTTTAAAGTCCTAGTTTATTTACATCTTCTAGGCTTATCTCTTTCCTCATGAAAATCGCTTTGTCAATTCCATAATTGTAATCTTGTGTAAAAGTGAATATCAGATTTGTCCACAAAAAAACCAATATGCATACCGTTGAACACAAAGTCAACAGATTTTTAGGGCTATCTTACCCACTTGGGTTTATGTGTTTCCATCTTTTGCATGATACCCCCACATTTGTAGAATTTATACAAAGACTTTCAGCCGTTTCAAAAATTCATGCAAAGTCTTTAACCAATTCCTTGTGTCACAATAATTATGAAACTCTCAAAATCATATCACATAAAACACATTTACAGACCGTCATTAACTAAATTAGGCCTTTTCCGAATTCAAGGCACCAAACAAATTTGGTCTAACTTGTCACTCTGAAGCCAATAGCCTTACTATTAGGAAATAGAAATCTAGTGTTCAATAGTCTACTATTCAGAACTTCATAACATGGCCAATAGTCTTATCACTAGGAATCACTAATTTTTTAGCATGTGGTCAGTAGACTGTCCACTACTAGGAATCACAATGTTTTAAATGTGATCAGTAGTCACTTTCATTACTAGGAATCATCATGTCTTGACATATGATCAGTAACCTCTCCACTATTAGGAACCATCATGCACTACTAAAAAAAATACTTTTTTGTGACCGCTACAAGCCGTTGCAAATAATGAAAATACAGTCGCAAAAGAGCTTTTGTGATGGTTCATGCGACGGCAAATGGGGGTCACGAATGTGGGAGTGGCAAATACTTTTTGTGACAGCAAAGCAACGGTCGCAAATTATTCGCGACTGCCTAAACTATTTATGGCGACCACTATTTTGCTGTCGCAAAAAATAAAGAAAAATGCTAACATGTTTTTTGGCGACCATTTTGTTACCGTCGCAAAAAGCAAAAAGAAAAAATGAAACATAAAAGTGTAATGTTAAGCATTCTAAGAATAGCAATGACAAGAATTCAAACAGTATAACTTTCTAGTTTAGTCAAATATTGCTTTTGAATCTCAAAATTGGAGCCATATGTAAAAGTTATTACAACTAAAAAACTGGAAAAAGTTCTTTTATTACATTTTAAACTTTAAAACACATTTGGGACTACACAATTTCATATTAAAACACAAGATCCGTCTTCATATTAAAAGCCCAAAACCCAAAAAATGTGAAAATAACAATTTGCTAAGGAGAATTTCCCCTTCTTGATTACCAACATGGTTCTTCGCTCGCAAATTTTGATCTGGAAGTCACTAAACTTGTCCGAGTTCATAAACATAAGGTCATTCTTCTTCGAGTCTAAACAACAGCCCAACAAAGCATATCAGAAAATTACAAAGTCAAAAGAGCATATCAATGCTATGAAAATTGTGAGGATCTTTTGAAGTGACTTTCTTTGCACACAAACAGATATTCCAAATCCACTTACAATTACAACTTCCCTAGTATCAAATTCAGTATGGAAAGCATATGTGAAACAATTTAAGAAAACCAGATTAATTACAAAATATATAAATCCAAAAAATCAATCTCTGAGACACAGACAGCGAGTCCCACATCGAAACAATATGAGAAAAAAGAGTTGTAGAGACACAGACAGCGAGTCCCACATCGAAACAATATGAGAAAAAAGAGTTGTATGTATAAGATGAGAAGTACAAGGTACAACCTTGAACAAGATTTATTCTATAGGATCCGTCTTCATATTAAAAGCCAGAACAAAAACTATTTATTTTCCACCATTTTAGACTTTAAAACACATTTGGGACTGCACAATTTCATATTGAGAAGATTGACTGATATTATGAGCAACTAGATAAATGGAATTAGGCTTGTTATCCAAATAATATTGTGTCCAAATAATATTGTGTCCAAACCTGTAGCCCACACCCCGTTTGTTAGTTGACCAAATTAAGTCAATGGACTATCTAAGTTATGTCATCTTTACAAGAATGTTCACTGACTCATCAGCACTTATGGCAAGAATGGCCACAAAACACTAGAAAAAGGCTCACCCTATATCAATTTTTAAATAACTTTTATCTGGTGTCATTAAGTTTTTTTCTTCTAAATATGATTGCTTATAAAGATCCACTTTGATAGGCCATTCAAGCGTATAAGGGTGTTAAGATAGTTGACAGGAGTGAAAACATAGAAAAAGAGATAGAAAATGAAGAACATGGTGTTATGGATCACTCACTAGAATCTAATGGTAGTTCAGATCTTTCAAATCAAATCATTATTGTTATTTTTCATTCCTATATGAAATATGAGATGTACAAAAAAACTCACCATGGAGATATATGTTCCTCAAATCCAAGCTTGCACCGGATCAATACACATTATGATGGGGAATAGCAAGGCAACGACGATCCAAATAATGTCGCTCCAATTTCTAGATCTTTCAAAGCTGCATTAAATTAAAATAAAAAACCAAACGAAGCCTTAAGTCCCATCAAATGGGGTCGGCTACATGAATCCTTCTTCTCCACGCGGCCCTATCAAAGGTCATTTCATTAGTCAAATACAATAGTTAAATAATTAAAAAATAATAATAAATAATAATAAAAATAAAAGCTTAATCTTGCACAAAAAAAATAAATAAAACAAAACAATGAAAAAAAATAAAGTTGCAAGTTGCAACTACTTGCAATGAAAAAGAATATATATATATGTATATATATATATATAGAGAGAGAGAGAGAGAGAGAGGGAGAGGGGAAAAAACATGCCAGAGATTAATCGAAGGAAATACCTAAAAATGTTGATTTTGTGTTGCCCTAGAGAGATCATTTTGGACAATCCAATGGGCAATTTGAGTGACAATGAATGAAAAATAGAGATTTCAAAAGAACCATAAAGAGAGAATAGGAGATTGAGAAACAGAGAGAGAAAGCAAGATTGAGAGAGACAGAGAGAGATAGAGAACGAGATTGAGAGATCGAGAGAGTTCATAGCCATTTCCTTGTTTAATCTCAAAAGTGAGCTATAGATTACCTTTTTCTTTTTCTACTTTTCTGCTAAGGCGACTGTTCCTGTGTCCTATGGACCTGTTTGGATATGAATCTGGACCACTCAAAGTCTTACACAGATCATATCCTCCCAAATGTTGGTTCAAGTCAAAGTTTTTTAACTCTTCAAAATTGACGAATTTCAAATTCTAGGGCTGAAAATCAAATTCATCGCCTGAGATTTGCACACAACTAACTAAGGTTTATGAGATATTTATCAAATCTCAAAACACTTCACAGATAATAAATTCATTTCCTAGAGTTGGAAACTAACCTGTTCAATATGTCCTTGAGGAAAATAGAACACGCGCTGGCCTTCACGAGGCATTGTCACAAGCGGACCAGCACAAGCGCGCCATAGCTCTGTGTAAAGCGCTGTTTTGGGATCCACTGCACCAACAAGAAATGAAAGAAAAAAAAAACTTGAAATCAAAGCCAGAGATCATTGTAAACTCGTCGGAAAAGCGCCGGAATTACAGAGAGAGTTAAATCGATGAATATGTGTCAAACATATAATTAAAGTTGGAATGTTTTATAATTCTAATGTCTCCGAGACCCAGCATGCTAACAATGATTTAACTACAATCATAAAGCTATAAAGTTTCAAAGTTTTGCTTTTATTTTCAATTGAAAAGTTGTAACATGAAGGTTTGAACTCATTCAGCTAAGCAAATGATACGGCCACAAAATGAAAACAACTCAAGGAACTACTTCTCTACCAGAATTCTGCAAACGATGAGACTAAGAATTTTGTTTAATTCCAAAATTTATAGCAAGTAAAACTAGGTGACTGGAATATCTTTAAATGAGACAGTACAAAAATGAAAGATAATATCAAAATCAGATGAATGAACATCATAGATAATAAGACAAAATATAAAAACCATAGATCATGCTTTTAACTGTTATGCTAAGCAATAATTTTAGTACATTTTATAGTATAACTTGAAAAACCATGCAGCAATATGTAGCCACGCAGCATAGCAAATAGGGCAAGGCCACAACAGTAAGGAATAGATAGAGCAGCAGCTGGCAGCAAAGCATATAGCAGCAGCATACAACAAAAGGAGCAAAAAAATACCTCCAGACATAGCCCACCGGGATAGGCTTCAAAAAAAGACCAGATGTAATAATCATCCACTCAATACAACGTCCAAAATTAGATATCCATTAAGGTAAGCTAAGTACAAAATTAGCATAAATTAAAAACACCAACTTTCCTTTTTGAGGACCACTCAAAGAACTGCTGCATTTTTGCAGCCTGGCCCTCTTAATGTCCTCCAAGCCCACATCAAACAGACCAACCTTCAGCTTTACTTTATGTGATGCTTCAGCATATCCTGTGATCACCAACAATGAGAACAGTCAGCAAAAGATGGCCTCTCAACTGAAAGCATAATCTCTATATTTCCTTCTCTCGCTACACATTCGATCATCAAGAGCAATTACATGAATAAAAATGATGTGATGAGAAGAGGAAGATATAGTGATACATAGGTAGTTTGAGCATATCCAAGCTTATCTATAACAGATTTATTAATAACTTTTAGGGACTAGATTGTTAATAGTAGTAGTTCAAAATGCTTTAGAGCGAAACTTTGAATAACCTAAAGCATAGCACAACCATTAGAGTTGTCAATATCAAATTCATAAATATTCTAGATCTGCTCCTGTTGCTTCTCCAAAGGCTAACCTTACAATTCAAATCACAATCAATTAACATCACAAAGATTATGAAACATACAGGGAACTTTGAAAATGTTTAATCATAGAGAAAATCAAATTCAAATCTAACTTGTAATGAAAAGCACTAAACAGATTGAAATTGTAATCAACATATACAAATTATAATGAAATCAAAACATACACTCATGTTGTATACTGTATTGAAATCAGAAAGCTTAGCAGAATGAAAATTATAATTGATTCTTTGCAAATTATACCCGAATCAGAAGAAGAATAAAAGAGAGAATGGGAAAACCTTGGCCCAAATCCACTGCTCTAAGAAAATCTCTCAATAAAACACAATCTAAAGGAATTCAATTGCAATCCACAGTAACAACTATAGATATATCAATGAAATTAATCAAAGGTCCACAATTCTATATATATCACCATTGACCTATATATGTAGCAATTTTTGCATATGTTGAAAAAAGTATTGATGCTCAGAAATCACAATAAAAATTATCAAGATTTGAAATATAAATATGGCCTCAATGAACAACAATTGAAATATAAGAAGTAGATAGAAAGAGGAAACACAATGATTGAAGAGAAGAAGAGAGTATGAACAGAGTGATTATCTGTTGGAAATTGAAACTACATGAAATGAAATAGTGAAAAACAAAAATCACGTACCTTTGAAGAAATTGTGAAGAACATAATTCCAAATGATATTGAAGGCATCGATCATAAGAAGAAATCGCAAAGAACATAAATTGAAGAATAGAAATCGTGAAGGGTAGATGAATGTATCGATCTAAACTCTAGCAAATTTATATATACATACATAGAGAGAGAGAGAGAGAGAGAGAGAGAGAGAGAGAGAGAGGAATTGAGAGATCGAGAGATATTGAGAGATCAAGAGAGGAAGAATGATTCATAACTGTGTTTGGGCGAGCGAGAGAAAGAAAGCAATATTGAGAGTTTGAGCAAGGCTGACTAGGGCAAATATAAATAAAAGAAAATAAGAGGAATAAAGCACATACATAAACTAGACTTGGAAAATAGTATATTTTTTGCTATGGTTAAATAGACAATCGCAAGAAAATAGACACAAAAAGTCCATTTTCTAGTAGTGTATCTATTTTTTTTGATGTATATCTATCAAGAATTTAAATCACTTGATGGGATAAATTAATCAATTTTCAGGTCTTATTTAAAGAATAATCTGATTAGTCATTCCAACTCCTAGACTTCGCGAATACTGGCAGATGAGTTGACGGATTGGGCTAAGGTAGGTCTAAGGTGTTGGAGGTAACATCTTACCACTCCATAAATTTATTTATTTTTTAGTTTTAATTTTTTCCTTGTGTGATTTTCTTTCTCTACAGTTAGTTTTGGTTTTAGTGAGGTTTATGTTTTTGTTTACAAATTTGCATGGTAGAGAAGAATTACTGGTGATGATGGTTGCAATCGAAATATCTATGCCAACAATTATGATTGGGTTTTGTTTTCTTCAACGAAGACCATAAAATTAAAGTAAAAAAAATGGATATCAAATTTTTTATTTTTTATTGTCGTTTTATTTTATAGAAAATGTGAAAATTTATTGGGAATTCAAGATTTTTACTATAACATTAGATTTTTGTATAACTAGGAAAATTTGAAACTTTTAAATATCATTGTGTTCTTTATTTTTTATTTTCTTTCTATCCTATTGTACCATTACTGCTATTTGTTAGTTTGTTAATTGTAATTCAATTAATTGAAAATGAAAGCTTAGTACAACTTTTCAAATTTATTATAGTTAATTTGTTACCACCATAGTTGTATATAATAGCATAATATATAGGAATAATCTCTAAATATAATTTATATTTTTTTAATGTGATTAAAATAGTCCATCTTGAATAGTATATAGCGGAGTTACATGGCTTCTTTGATCCCCAAAAAATCCAGTCTGTTGTTTTTTTTTTACTTTTTAATTTTTTAAATTGAAACATCAGTTATCTATATCCACAAAAAAACTGATAAACATATATCCAAAATTTACACATTTCTTTTTTTTTTCTTTTTTTTTAATAGATAGGATATTTACAAATAAAAAATGTTTGACGCCTCAAAAATTGTAACGCACCGAAATAATTGTTATAAACCATCCAAAATATTAATTACATAACAACACGTGATTAAATAATTTTTCTTTCATTTATCCTAGTTACTTGTACAAGAGGTGACATATGCAGGTATAAATTCATAAGCCTAACCCTGAATCTACAACATATGTACAACAAGAGATAAGATATGAAAGTAAACTAGATAAACAAATGCCCTAAAGGCTTACAACTTTCCAAGACAGTTCTTGGTTAAAACAAAAGTGGACTTAAGTCCAATACAGTTAAAGCCCTTGGCTTGTACAATAACAAATATTGTAAATATGCAAAAGAAGTTCTCTATAACGATTTTGGTTTGGACCCGAACCATTTGATATTTTGGATCTGCGTTTCATTGCCTTGTATAATCATTTATGTCTTATTTCCCTTATACCTCATTGAGTTTGGCTTTTGGGTTGTGTTGGTTGCGTTTGAAATAGGTTGGTACCTTGTTTTTCAAATACCTTGTTGCCCAGAATTTTGCTTGTACTCGAGCGTCATTTCTTGCGCTTGTGCGGGCTTTGTGAACTTTTAGTACTTTTGCAGGTTTGCAAAACTACTGAAAGTTGGTATTCTTCGCTCGAGCAAAGCTTCTTGCGCTTGAGCGGTCTTGGCTCGAGCGACCCTTATTGCGCTCGAGCGTTGGTCTTATGTATGTAAAAGTACTAGGAGTTTGTATTTCACGCTCGAGTGTCAACTTCTTGCGCTCGAGCGGTCACATCTTTTGTGTCTTACGCTTGAGCGTCACTTCTTGCGCTTGAGTGGACTACGCGTATATCAGTCCGTAAAAGTCACTTTTTACATTACTTTTTCATTTCACTCTCTCTCTAAACTTTCTGAAAATCCTAGATCTACACACTCTCTCTCTAAAACTCACCTTCTCCCTTCTAAAACACCTAGATCCATTGATTTCTCTACCCTATTCCCTTTGAGAAGAAGGTAGAGCTCACTTGGGGCTTCATTTTCATCCGAACAAAGTTGGGTTTCGGCGGTGTTGAAGTTTCTTCTCTCTCTCTCTCTCTCTCTCTCTCTCTCTCTCGTCTCGTAAGCTTGAGGTAGGGATTCTTCACACTCTCGTATAAGTTTTACCTTAGTTATTTGCTATTTCAAAGGATTATAGTTGTTTGGGTTGTTTTGGTAAAACCTAGGGTTTGAAATCGAAATGATAAAGAGGGGTTTTCAAATGGCCTCTTGGAAAAGCTTGTGGGTATGAAATTGGGATTGATATATGTTGAAATGAGGTATTTCCTACATTGACATTGATTTTCAAAGAGAAAGGGGTTTTTGCACAAAAATGTGAATGCTTGAGATTGTAAAGAGAAAATGGAATTGACATGGAAATTGTGAAATTGAAATGATGATAATGATGAGGGTGGAGTTGGATATGTATTATCACTCCCATTTTGAGATTGTGCAAAAGTTTATCTTTTATGAAATTTATTTATCTGTTTAGAGATATCTGTTTTGGGCTATTGGTGGAGGATATCTATGAGTGTTGTAGAAATTGTATGTGAATTAGGAGAATTGAAACTATTTTCTTATTCATTTGCATTGAGCATTATCTCACG